ACAAGGACATGCAAACAGAACAGAGAGATACCGTAAAAGGAGAACAGACCAGACCCCAAGGTCCATGCCTTATATGGAACGGGGACAGCTCTTCCTGAATTCCATCCTTCTGATGTGCCAACTAAGACCCGGATGTCAGCCTCCTCCCTCTTGGAAGGAAAAAAATTTCTAGTTGTCTTTTATGTCACCTTTGGCCAATCATACCTCTCCACGCCCCCTAGGATAGCTTGCCCACTCCTCCCCCTCCTAACCCCTTATTAGTTCCCACCTCCCTGACCAGGTGTGACTTCCCCAGCCTGTGATAGCCAGACTGCGGAACATCACCCAGGAGTTGCACTCAAATAAACTACCTGGCCCTTTGTTGCCTCTCTTCACCTGCTTATTTCAGTTGGAATCTATTGGAATTTATCTTACAAGCAATAAATTTCTGTTATTAATAAGCTACACTGTCTGTGGTTTTTTTGTTACTGCAGCCCAAACAGACTAAGACACTCACTCAGTAAATATGCACTGAGAATATGTCAGATGTTGTGTTACCATGCCGTGATAATGGAATAGACAGATCAGACAGTCCTGCCTCCAAGGAGTGCACAATCTTGGTGTCAGACAGGCAAATGAAGAACTAACTACAGTGCAAGGCCAGATTAAGTGAGCCTCTAAGAGCTGAGAAGCCCTGGCATGGCAGGGGTTACAACAACTAATGCTGATGGAGACGATCAGTGACAACTTCACAGAGGAAGAGACATTTTGAGCTGCCAAGTGGACCCTGAAGGACGAGTAAGAGACACCAGAGGAGGAAGGTGGTGGACAGGGAAGCAGGGGTCCTATTTGGAGGAAGCAGACATTCTTGTCAAATAAAATATTCTAATGAAAAAAATGAGGACAAGAAAACAAATGGTTGTACCTCAAAGGACACCATCAGCAGAACAAAAAGGCATCCTACAGTATGGGAGAACATACTTGTAAATGACATATCCAACAAGGGGTTAACATCCAAATATATAAAGAACTCACAGGACTCAACACCCAAAATGCAAATAACCCTATTAAAAAATCGGTGGAGGATATTAACAGACACTTCTCCAAATAAGAAATTCAGATGGCCAACAGGCACATGAAGAAGATGCTTCACATCACTAATTATCCGGGAAATGCAAATTAAAACCACAGTGAGATATCACCTCACACCAGTTAGGATGGCCAACACAGAAAAGACTAGGAACAACAAATGCTGGCGAGGATGTAGAGAAAGGGGAACCCTCCTACACTGCTGGTGGGAATGTAAATTAGTTCGACCATTGTGGAAAGCAGTATGGAGGTTCCTCAAAAAACTAAAAATAGAAATACCATTTGACCCAGAAATTCCACTCCTAGAAATTTACTCTAAGAATGCAGGAGCTCAGTTTCAAAAAGAAATATGCACCCCTATGTTTATTGCAGCACTATTTACAATAGCCAAGAAATGGAAGCAACCTAAGGGTCCATCAGTAGATGAATGGATAAAAAAGATGTGGTACATATACACAATGGAATATTATTCAGCCATAAGAAGAAAACAAATCCTACCATTTGCAACAACATGGATGGAGCTAGAGGGTATTATGCTCAGTGATATAAGCCAGGCTGAGAAAGACAAGTATCAAATGATTTCACTCATCTGTGGAACATAAGAACAAAGCAAAAACTGAAGGAACAAAAAACAGCAGACTCACAGAACCCAAGAATGGACTAACAGTTACCAAAGGGAAGGGGACTGGGGAGGGTCGGTGAGAAGGGAGGGAGAAGGGGAATAAGGGGCATTACGATTAGCACACATAATGTAGGCAGGTGGGGGGCATGGGGAAGGCAGTGTAGTGCAGAGAAAACAAGTAGTGACTCTATAGCATCTTACTCTGCTGAAGGACAGTGACTGTAATGGGGTATGTGGTGTGGACTTGATAATAGGGGGAATCTAGTAAAACCACAGTGTTGCTCATGTGATTGTGTATTAATGATCCCCCCAAAAAAAGAGAGAGAGAACAATGGCCTTTTCCAGGAACGACAAGCAGTCTGGAATACCTGGCACATAAGGTGCATGGACAGCAGTGATGAACACAGCTGTAACTACAGCATGGTGTCACATCATTTGGATGCTAAGAAGTCTCTTTTCTCCAATCAGAAGAATTTGGCTTCATAAAAACCACTGCTCATTACTTATGCAATGGTTTGTTCAAGACCATAGTAATTGGAATAAGCAATATATGTAGTTTCTGAAACCATGCTATTACATTAAGTAATGTATACTACATATATCTTATTAGTGAAATAGCATTGCTTTGGGGCATAAAATTGAGGCAGTTTCCCTTAAGTCATTCATTGGCACAAACACATCCTTCAGAGCCACTTCCAGAAACCTAACAGTAGCCAGGAAGGAAAAAACATGCTGGCCTTGAAGCAAAAGGGGGCATGCCACAGGAAGTGTCCAACATGCTGAGAGGCACTAGCACTACAAGCACCACCTAAGGGCTTAGGACAATTTTATATATTGCTAATATAGGACTGGATACAAAATTTGCAGGACTAGTGACAAAGTGAAAATGCAAGACCCCTTGTTCAAGAACTATTAAGAATTTCAAGATACAGGCAGCAGAGTATTAAACCAAGCACAGGCCCTGTGCAACTGTACAGGTCACATCCCTGTGAAGCTGGCCTGATTGCCAACTCTTAACTATTAATGATAATCCACTTAGTTTTCAAGGCTTTGTGTGTGTAAAGCGTCTCTCACATTCAAGTGTGAACTTCTGCCACCAACTGACCCCCCAGATTTTATGTCACCCTACCAGTGACCTTTCTTCTTTGCCTTCACTGGCAATGGTGACTATCAAAGAACCCTTCTTAGAGAAGTGCCAACTCCTCCACCTGCACTTATAATGCCATTCTTCTGCTTACTGAAAATGAATCTCTCTCTCCTTAATCTTTTGTGTTTAAAATTTACCCTCCTCATAAACTCATCATTAATAGGAGGTAAAGTAATAAGTTCCTAATCACATGCAGTATTTAATCTTAAGTGGAGGCAATACTTAGGCTACTATTTAGGCACCACTTAGGCAGCGTGTAAGTATAGTTGCTCTGCTACTGATAATACTGTTGATGGTGGCTAAGTGCCAAGATACTGTGCTAAGCATTTTACAGTCCTGGAAATTGATCAGTGGATGATCCCAGTGCTCTCTGATTTCCTTGTTCTTTATGTTTTAGTCTTATTCCTCAGCATATTAAGACTTTTGCCAAAGAAAAAGCAAAGGAAGGAGGGGGAAAACACTCAAGTCAGACAATTCTGCTACTTGTTAATAGGGTTGGTAAGAAAAAAACTGATAATGACTTTTAAAAGCGGATCTAAATCTGCAGCATCTTGCTGCACTGATGGACAGTGACTGCATTGGGGTATGGGTGGGGACTTGATAATATGGGTAAATGTAGTAACCACAAATCTAATCTCTGCTAATTTTTCCTGTGAAACCTTCATAAGAGTGTATACCAATCATACCTTAATAAAAAATTTAAAAACAAAATAGAGCGCACACACACACACAAAAAAAAGTGGATCTAAAACAATCACTTAATTACAGTTCCCACATTATCTGTGCATTTCACTTATTCTCCCCAATCATGAGTGAATAAATTGTTCAGTTTTGTATATCAATAAATTGGCTATCTTAGGCAATAAAATCATAGAGAAGACACATAGAGAATCATGCCTCTATGATTAGTACAACATACACAGAGCCTTAGTTGTCAGTAGCAAAACTGAAACAGATCATTTACTGTAACTGTGAATTCTACTCACTCAGCTCATATGTATATTATGCTGAGTCTTATACTTCATGCTGTGTTAAAAAGGTGCAATTTTCATATTACTAGTGTCCTATTAATTGCTGAAGAACCTCAGACAAGACCCTCCTGTGCCCCTGAACCTGTATTTGTTTCAAAGTGCTAAGTGAGGTTAATTTGTTTAGACTTCACCAATTTCAGAACAGCTGCAGACCTAAAGTCAGATACTCCCTGCTGGTCTGAATTTAAACTCTTTGGATTAGGTTACTCCTATTCACTTTAGCTACAAAGGAATTACTGTGGTCTGCTAATGATGACCAAAGCACTTAGATGTAGCTGAAGTCTGGCACACAGTTTATCTTTTTTTCCATTTTGCCTTTTTATTTTTGATTTTGAAGACTATATATTAATCTCACATGCATATAAGGAGAAGGAAGGCTTTCCCTTTCTACATGCAGAAGATATATAGTACCTGAGGACATTCTGTCTCCTGAGCCACAGCTTAACAGCATTAGCAAAAGCAGTTCAGCCAGAGGGGAATTGAAAATTGGACAGCAGCTGAGTACAGTCTAATAATTTACACTGGGGAAAGCCCTTGGAATTCAGAGGCACATTGCCCAGCTGGAGAGACAAATCTAATCTCTGCTAATGATGTTCCTCCTTCTCTTTCCTATCAGGGCTGGGCTTTTTACACATGCGCACATAATTATATATGCACACTCAGTCCAGTGAAGCCAAACAACGCAGAACCCAGGATTAAATTACACAGTGAGACTTCCAGGCATCATCTGGCTTCCACATGCTGTCCAATAAATGCTGTTCATGGTTTACATTGTGGAGCTGTTAAAGATCTTAAGAGTTCAAAAACATATACAGCTAAATACTAAAATTCAAAAGGGATAATAGTATGGTTTTATTTGATACTGAATATGATAAGTATGACTTCTCACATTGATTTAAACAAATACATACTAGGAGACAGACACATGGACTTTGCTCTCAGAAGGACTTGAGACTGTTGACAAAAATGCATATGGTACTATAGATAAATAGGTGAAGGTGAAAATAAAAACCAGTAGACAGAAATCATTTGTGTACTAAAAACTGTTAAAGAGGGTACAGATTTGGACCAGAGCTTTTTGTGGATCAGTTAAAGAGAAAGACACAATTATTCAAGTAAGAAAAGAACATACCAGTTGTCCAGGGGAAGCAGTTTATACTTGTACTAAGGCTTGAGAGGCCTTTCTTCCTCTGATCTGCACAAAATGAGGCAGATAAAAGAGCCTCAACGATACCCTCACAGCAAATGCAGTAGCATTTTTCCTAGGACGGTTTTTAGAGCCCATCTCCACATAAGGTAAGATTCTCAAGTATTCCAGAAAAGCAACACCTACAATAAAAAATTCCAAGTAAAATAGCAGTTAGAAAGTCTGATTTCATCCAGAAGGTTATCTGCTTCAAGAAATCTTCCCTGACCATTATTTGTCACACTTGGGCTTTCGATAAAATAGAGCAACTATTCTTTATTCTCTGGCAGGAACCTGGCATGCAAATATTCTGGGTTTTCATGTAATGGGTAGACCAGATGCTTTAACAATCAACCAAGAAGAAGGAGCTGATATCCTCCTATGAAAACTCAGAATCTGACCAGAATTTGTGTCTCAAAACTTCATTTCCACACAGAAATAGGCCTAGAAAAATAAGCCTGACTGTGTGGTTGTTTATTTTTTATTTTATTTTATTTTATTTATTTTTTGGTTGTTTATTTTGTATTATAACACACAATGTTCTTCACATTCTGATGAAACTTTACTTTTTCAATGTTTTATAGCATCAATTATTTTAAAAAGAGGGAAGCATTTTAATAGTTAATTCCTCTGGTGCTTTACTGAAGTAAATGGGAAGTGGTGGAGTGGTGAATCACCATCTGGGGCTATAAATTATAATCCTGCCACACGGTAATGGGCAGAGGCCTGATCCATGGAGCCCCCCTAGGAGAAGCCATCTATCAGTGCAGCCATCCATAAAAGGGACTGAAGAAAGGGCAGCTCTCAGTCCAGACAAGGGACTCTGCTATGGCAGGAGGATATAGCGCTGTCTGATTTTCAAAAGCAACTCTCAGAACTCCCAATCCCCGTATCAAATTTCTGAATTCAAGAAATTACAGGGAAAATTCTCACACTTTAAATATTGGCAATTAGAAGGGAATTTAGGGCTCTAAAAGCTCTGGGGAAAAAAGTCCTCAAGTGAGAGAGACAAACAACAGGTCCAGAGCTGCTTCATCTATTCTTAATGAGCTTACAAATATGTCCTGAAAAGAAAAAGGTGACATTATTAACCATAGAATGAAAACTGCTAAGAAGTTAACCTAGCAAGAAGCGACATGATTTTGCATGCACGTGCATGCATAACCTTGCACAGCCCAAATGAGGTGTTCTACTGGCTGATCGTTTTCTTTTGCCTCCTGCTACAAGCTAAAGGCTTAGCTGCCTTAGACTATTTCCTCCAAATCTGATAATTTCAAAGATGGCACAAGGTAAAAATAAATGACAGAAGACAGGAATTATTCTAATAAGAAGGAAACCAGTAGAGAGAATCAGGTTTATAAAAATAATAAAAAACTACAAGTTAAATAAAAAACTTTAAGGTAGGATACTTTTTGAGATCTTACATTAAGCCTTGAAGGGCAGCTGAGATCATTCTTAGAAAGAGATTACAGGCCAGAAGTGCTAAAACAGCTGTTTCCTTTTGTTTGCTGCTTAAATACCTAAAACTTACACCTGTCATGTTTTCGAAGATATTCAGGGACTTTTACAGATGTCCTCCCACCAGTTCTCACTACAGCCATCTGAGAAAGGCACTCTTCAGATTTGCCACTGAAATCACAGGACTACACTGAAAATCTCCCATGTCTGTGAGGAAGGTGGTTGCTTATCAGATATTTTCTATTCGGCTTATTCACTGATTCAACAAACTCTTTGTTAATCACTGATGGTGCTGGCTTTGTATCAAGCAATAAGAATGTTGCAGAGATGAACAAGACAGTGGATCCCTGCTCTGGGGGCGCTGAAAATTTTTAGATGAGAAATATATAAATAAATGATTACTATGTAACATAAGAAGCTCTCTAAGTGAGATGGTACACATTTTGGAAATACAGCGAAGGGGAAGTTGCTGTCCAGGATGAATGGGGTCGGGGAAGAAAGAATATCAGTCTGAGGAACAGGCATGCACAAATGCATGTGCATGTGAAAGAAATCTCGCATTTACTTGGGGAGAGGGACAAGGGTCAGTGGGACTGGTGGGAAGTGAATGAATGAGAGACGTAGAAGACAGAGCTGAAGAGGAAGACTGGAGGATTTTTTTCTCCTGCTAGGGGGGTGGATGGAGGACAGTATGGAAAACTGCTACTAGAGCGAGAATGGAAAGAGCTGAGAGATATCCAGCTGACAGAAATGCTAGTTTATAGTGCCTGGCTGGCTGTGATGATGATGCTGAGAAAAGGTTTTGCAGTCGGTTGGGGGATGCTAGATGCTACCACTAATCAAAGCAGAAAATAGGTGCCAGCTAGGGAACTGCAGGGAGGAGGTAGCAAGTTAGGGTTTATATCTTCACAAATACTCTTTAGCAAGGAAGTTGGAAATGGAATAAGGAAGTAACTAAACTCAAACTGGGACAAAGGGCTACAATATTGCTGGGGAGACAAATATGAGGGCAAAGTTCACATAATCATTACTAACATCAGGATAGTTATAAATTTTATAGCCTCACTTTAGCCTGGTTTCACTATTATTCCTTTCTCAGGGGCTGTGTTATCATTTTCCTTTGTCTCTTTAATGCTCCTCCTGATTCAACTACCAAGCTCCCATACACACACAAATGAACTCCACCTATCCTTTCCTCAACCCAGGAGTGCTCCTGTCTTCAAAACCCTCTGTCTTCCCTAATCCCCTTTTAGATCTCTTCTAAAAAAATTAATAATGGCTAAAGGGTGCAACAGTGAACACAGATAACAAGCTACTATTATCATTTAAGGCCAAATCCACTTCCCATTAGTTTTTACACCTCTATTGTTTCATTCCTTCATTTAAACTTGTCTTCTGCATAGTATACTACTTCTGAGTTCTAATGTGGCACCACTGTTCCAAAGGCCTTATCAGAGAAGCCACTACTACCATGAATACTGGAGTGTATGTGCATAGACCTTGAGAGCTTAGGCCCCAGGAGAAAATGATTCTGAGAAAGAACAACTGTGCCGGTGTAAGGAGGAAGTTAGTACTGCAACTCAACAAACCTTTCCTGAGTGCCTGCTGCATGCCAGGTACTGTGCTGTGCTTCCCAGAAGTTACATGGGAGATAAAGGTGTCAAGATGGCATCTTCTTTACCTTTTGGTATGTTTTACCTATTTCATAATTTTAAAAAATGGTTCCTGATTTTTAGAACTTGAGATCTAGTAGGGGAGATAGCCGCAAACACAAATGAAGCCAGGCCATGATAAGTGCTCACAATAGAGGTGCAAATTTCAGGGGGATAATAAAAAAATAATAAACTTTCTGCTTTGGGGAAACAAGCGTCCAATCATTTGTCTTTACAAGGACATGAGACCATAAGTTTGTATTTTGGGAAGAAAATGTCTTTCTTGTTGATGCATCCAACAAGCCTTAAATAAATGTTTTTTTAATCTAAAACTGAAAAGACATTCAGTTCAGCCATTGGGTGGTAGCCCAAAGCTGCTGCCAGGGCCTCTTTCTAAGGCTCCTGGTTATTTCTCAGAGCAGACAGCACTGCTTTGGGCCCTCTATATCCCACCATTTGTGATGCTCCTTCGTCCCCAAGTCTGTCCACATACTGCGAATCCCTCTGAGTCTATCAGTCCCTCCCGTCATAGCTAATCAGTGCTCTGCCCCCCCCTTCACCCTGTCTCCTTTCCACAAAGGACAAGGGGTGACCCTAAAGCTTCCAGAGCATAATTTCACAGGACAAAATGTTGCAGATTTCCTTTAAATTAGTCCTTCCAGAAGACAGGGATAGGCCAGGCTTTCAAAGCGCCCCTGCATATGGGCAGGCTCTACTCCTATCTCATCCACATTGCCACTAACAGGCCTGGGACCAAAGCCTGACAGGAACATTAAGAAGTTCCAGTCCACTGGAACATGAAAAGTCCCTGGTTCCAGTCCACCCCACAACCCTCATGTGAAGCAGAAAAATGTATCGTTTGCCTTTTTTGCCCATATGACTTCTTAGATGTAAGAATCAGACTGATGATTTTTTTTCCCTCCTTCTAAAAAGGAAAGCAAAGAAAAAAATGTCTGTTTGAAGCAGGGAGTTTCTCACAAAGCTTTAAAGAATCATTTGTTCTAATTTAAAATGAAAGACGTAGATTTTCTCCATCAAAAAAACAAAAAAAGGCCTATTTATATTACAATATAATTGCTATGCTAAAATATGCTGCATGTTAAAGCACTTATATACTGCACAATAGTTACCCAACATTTATGATTTCCGTAATTTTTCAGTTTAATGATTTGGAAAGAAGCTACCAAGAGTTAGGAGTCATAAATTAGTTGCTTGGCTGTGGGGTAAGTCACCGAACCTTTCTGGGCCTCAATCTGCAGGAATTGGACTAGAATGGTCTCTAAGGTCCCTTTGAGCAATTAAAAAAAAACATTCTGAAAATACAAGGAATCTGAACAATCCAAAGTGGAAAAGGGCTTCTCAAGACTGGTTCACTCTTCCCACAACTAGAAACTCTCAATCTATCAGAGAAATTATAAGACTCTTGATTCAGTAAAGAGAATTGAACCAAATGACATCTCCCATGTCTTTCAATTGTAGGATTCTTTCATGTTACAGATGATTTCTGGAGACCATACAACTAGAGAATGACATTAATTTAACAGTTAAAGAGAGAGGGAGGGAATGTCATCTTGTAGGTGTGGTAAATGTTGGCTGTTGGGTTAACAGAGCAATGACAGGTATAGCATACCAAGTCACTGTGTAGCTCAATAGGGATTGTTTGCCTTGGGCCAGGTTGCTAGGTGGTGTAAATAACTCTGCAAACACAACACCCAGCAATGAAAAGGTCTAAATGCCTTCAGTCACTCCAAAGGTAACATACAGGGTTTCACCACACAAAGCCTTCTGATTGCCAATCAGAAAAACTCAGGAGAGCAGAGGGTCACAATCGGCTCTCATTTGTTTTGGGCCATGCAGACACCCTCTACCACAGAGTGCTCCATTGGCTTATTTTCTTAGGGACACAGATCAAGAGTGACAAATAATAACAATCATCTCAGCATATTCTCTTACATGTATATATTGAGGTGAATTTCCAAAGTGATTCCATGTATTTTATCTCATTTGAGCCCCATGTGAGGCAGGCAGAGCAT